CTTTCTTTCTTTCTTTCTTTCTTTCTTTCTTTCTTTCTTTCTTTCTTTTCTTTTCTTTTCTTTTCTTTCTGCCGCCTAGCATAAACTTTTATTTCACTTTTCAGTTTGCAGTAATTATAAAATCGTACAGAGAGGTCCTGGGTCCTACATTCCCCTCACTCCTCAGGGCCTCTGAGACCTCTCTCAGCATGAAAGCTGCTGGGTCCTGGGATGAGGGGGTGAGAAGTGGGAAATGACCGACCCAGCCGCAGCAGCCCTGAGCTGAGGCAACCCCCACCCCAGTGGGCTGGGCCCCAGGGTGCTCCCCGGAGGGCCAGGCTTACCTCTGTGAGGGCGCGGGCTCCCGTCCTCCAGCTTGGGACTGACCCCGGCGCGGCCGCTGGGAGTGTGCCCCTCGCCCGGCCACCCCTCCTGCCACCCAGCTTCCTCTCCGGCAGCCAGTCGGGGCCCCCGACTCTCCCTGGACCCTGGTCTGGTGCCCAGGCTGGGGGAGAGGGGTAGGATTTCAGCCCTCCCCCAGCAGCTGGCCGGCAGGGAGAGGGGCTGCTTATATTTTAAGCTATTGAGTGGCTCAGCAGGAACTTGGAGGCCTCCTCTCCCAGTGGGCCTGGTGCTGCCTTCCTGCCCCACATGGGCTCTGAAGGCATGTGGGCACCGCCCTGCTGGGACCCAGGAACTATTAATATACCTGCAGCCACAGGGCAGGCCCTATGCCTGCCCACGGCCCTGCTATTCTAGCCCTTTCTGGCACGTTCCAAGTGTGACCCTTCCCTCTCCCACAAGTCCCCCTGGGTGGGACCAGACCCCCTGGGCGGTATGACCAGCTTCTTTTCTGGACCCATCTGTTTGGCCCGTGGCTCAGAGGGGCTCGGTAGGCTGTCCCCCAAGGCCACACGGCTGGCAGTCCCCAGCAGGCTCACTCCAGTGCAGCACCAACAGGCAGCATGGGCCAGGGCTTCTGGGTGTTGGGCCCTCTCGTGTCCCTTATGTGGGGCGGGCGTAGCATACGTGGGCAAACAGGCCTGCAGGCCGCCAGGATCTGCACCCAGGCCTGTGCCCTTCCCACCGGGCCTCCTCACGCCCAGCCTCGTGGCCCCAGGTTTTGGGGCACTTCCTGTCAGGCCCCATGCTGGTGCTCCACTCACATTGTCTCATGACCCCTTATAACCCCTTGAGGCCCACGCCTTCCTACCTGCCTCCTGGACGAGGCTCAGAGAGAAGTGAGGGGCTGGTCATGGGCGACCTCGTGGCATGGCCAGACTCAGTCCCCACATCTTCCGTGTTGTTGGGGGATGTGTGAGGGGATCCCTTTCCCTCTAGGGGGTGCTGGTTGCGGTGGACCATCTGCCGGGCTGTGGGTGGCCGGCCTTGCCCTCAGAGAGCCCTGGCTGGGGCCCTGCCCTGGGGTTTCTTGACCGGCTCCTTTCTCCACACTGCCTCTGACTGAGGTCCGCCAGGGGTGGGAAGGATTCTCAGCGCCTACTTTGCTAGCGGCTGACCTGAGGTCAGACCTAGGCCTTCTTGCCACGACCCACGTCAATAGCATCTGTGCCAAGCCCCCCATGGGAGCACCTGGGCCTTTGGGGATCCACTGGCCACCGCTGGGCCTCCCTCCAGCTTCAGCAGTTCACAGGCTCACGGCCCCTCCCGGCGCCTTCTCTGACCTGCTTGGGATGGGTGGGCCCGACCCCCACCCCCACCCCCACCCCGCGGGGGGCTCTCTCCCTCCCAACTCTGCCCACTGCTCTGCCACTGTCTGGGGGCGGCTCTGGGAGAAGGGTGGGGTTGGGGGTGGCCAGGCTTTGGGCTTTGTGGGCTCAGGGCCTAGGCAAGGGCACTGTGTTGGGCTGACGTGGTGGGAAGACTGCCCCAGAGGTGGCCTTGGACAGGCCCGGGTGGACCTAGTGAGAAATGAGTGGAGAAGGGAGGTCAGGGAGGCAGGGGCCGGGGCCAGGGCCTCATCCATCCAGGCTGGGGATGCTAGCTGGAAACTTCTCCGTTTCCTGACCCTTTCCACACTTAGAGAGAGGCTCTCTGCACCAATAACTTCGGAATCTGTCACCTCCCTGGGAACACAAATGCACAAGGAAAACAATCCGCAGTGTCTCTTACAGCTCAGAAGGGGAAGTGGATGATCTGTCTCTGGGATTCTCAAAATAGCTGGGATTTCTCCAAGCTCCGTGAACCCTGCGGGCCTGAGCCAGCCGAGGCTTGGGCCGCCCTCGGCCTCTCTCGCCCTCCTCCCGAGGCCCGCCCCGCCCTGCACTGGGCCAGGCGGGAGGTGCCTCCCTGCCTCCGAGGGTCTCCCTGCCCCCAGTGCTGTCCAGGCGCTGTGTCCACTCAAAAGCCTCAGTTTTGGGGGACCCAGCCCCCAGGGGTCGCCCCCAGGAGGTCTGTGGCATGGCTTCTGGGGGGCTCGGTCTGGGGCAGTTTTATATTTAGCTGGGCCGTGGCTGTGGGGCACTCGGGTTACATCTGCACAGAAGGTGGCGGTGCCAGGGCAGGCGCGGGCTCCTCTCCAGCACCGCGGCAGAATTTGATCGCGCCCGCCCGGCCCAGAGCCGCTCTGCCTGGGGAGGTCCGAGGTGGGGGCTGACGGCCGGCAGCCGGGGCCGCTGGCCGCAGCGGGCAGAGCAGGGCAGCATGGACCTGAACATGGGCATGGTGGCCCGGGAGGCCAGTCCGGGCCCGGGCCCCGGCCTCGGCCTTGGCCTCGGCCTCAACGGCCTCCCCCGAATCGCCCCCGCCAAGACCAAAAAACCTAAAAAGGCTGTCCTCTTTTTCGAGGTGGAGATTCTGGACGCGAAGACGCGAGAGAAGCTGTGCTTCCTGGACAAGGTACGACCGTGGCGTCAGCGGCCCTGGGCCAAGGACACGGAGTCTGGGCCCGTTACTTCCTGGGGCTCCTGGTTCTGAGGAGGCGGACTCCTTGCGTCCCCCCAACCTGTGTCCTGACACCCCACCTACTCCTCGGGCGGATGAGGGGTACCGTCCCCGGGTCTGCCCCTGCCGGCATGGGGTGGGGTGGGCAGCGCTGGCCCTTGGGTGTGGCCAGGAGCCGGCCCCCTAGTGGGAGGAGGTGAGGCAACCTCTGTGGACCCTGCAGGGCTTTGGGGCCTGGGAAGAAGGTGGGGGTTCTGAGAGCTGCCCCCTGCAGACGCCAGGCAGGGGGGAAGGGGCTCCCGCCCCAGTGAGTTCTGGCCCTGACCGAGGGCCGTCACTGCGGGCAGCTGTGTGGGGGTGAGCACAGGCAGGGAAGCAGGCCCAGCTTCGCAGGCTCATACCATCTCCACTCTGGGGGGGCCGTTGCTGTGCTGTTCAGCCATGTAGGTAGGGGGGCCTGAACTCCGGCCTTCCCCCTCCCATAGCAGCGGCCCAGGCCCCCTGTCTGACCCCCCTCACCAGGAGGGGGCCCTGACCAGGCTCCCCTACCCCCGACTTCTTTGCGGCCTCTGCTTCCCCCAGGTGGAGCCCCATGCCACCATTGCCGAGATCAAGAACCTCTTCACCAAGACCCGTAAGTCCAGGGCCCAGCTGTGCTACCCCTGTGACCTCTGGGCAGGGGCCTCTGGGTGGGACCCTGTCCTGTACACCTGTCCTCCCAGGTCCTGCAGAGATGCCCCCAGTGTGGCCCAGGCTTCTCTTGGCTTGCCTGGGGCAGATGTCCCTGCGTGGCCTTCAGCAGGAATGTCGTTGCCGGGCCTTCGGAAGAGTAACATCCCTCTCCTGCCTGGGTTGTTCCCGGCTGGGTCCTAGCACGGGCCTCAGAGGCCTTGTCCTGGGGCTGGAGGAGGCGTGGGGTCCCTGGGCTCCACCGTGCTGTGCGCTGTGATGCCCTGCTCTCCCCGCAGATCCACAGTGGTACCCTGCCCGCCAGTCCCTCCGCCTGGACCCCAGTGAGTACAGCTGTCTGCTCGGCCGCCCCTAGGCTCCTGGGTGGCAGTGGGCGAAGTCCTGGGCAGCTCTGAGCCCCGGCCTGGTCTCTCTGCAGAGGGCAAGTCCCTGAAGGATGAGGACGTCCTGCAGAAGCTGCCTGTGGGCACCACGGCCACACTCTACTTCCGGGACCTGGGGGCCCAGATCAGCTGGGTGACGGTGAGCTGCAGCCCTGTCCGTGGCCTCCTTTCCCAGCAGCCACACTGGGGTGACTCACCTGCTCCCCGTGCCCCCAGGTCTTCCTGACCGAGTACGCGGGGCCCCTTTTCATCTACCTGCTCTTCTACTTCCGGGTGCCCTTCATCTACGGCCACAAGTATGACTTCACGTCCAGCCGGCACACGGTGGTGCAGTGAGTGGGGCCAGGGGGAGGGGTGGTGTGGGGGGCGGGGAAGGCCTGCTGGACCTGCCCCAGCTGAGCCTGCCCCCGCCCCTCCCCCGCAGCCTTGCCTGCATCTGCCACTCATTCCACTACATCAAGCGTCTGCTGGAGACGCTCTTCGTGCACCGCTTCTCCCACGGCACCATGCCCCTGCGCAACATCTTCAAGGTGAGCGCCCCGGGGTGTGTCCAGCCAGACCCTGGCCGCCTCCCGGCCCCACCCACCTGGACCCCTGTGCCCAGACCCCGCCCGTCCCTCGCCCCACCCACTGCCGGCCCGACTCACCGCAGCCCCGCTCCCTTTCAGAACTGCACCTACTACTGGGGCTTCGCCGCTTGGATGGCCTATTACATTAACCACCCTCTCTACACACCCCCCAGTAAGTGGCCTTGGACCCTGCCCCTCCCCACCCCCCCTGGGTTCTCCCCTCACGGGCCACCCCTCTGCTTCCTCTTCAGCCTATGGAGCTCAGCAGGTGAAACTGGCCCTCGCCATCTTCGTGGTAAGCAGGCTGGGGAGGAGGGGTCTGGGGTGGGGAGTCTGGGGGCTCCCGGCTGACCCTGCTGCTCTGACAGATCTGCCAGCTTGGCAACTTTTCCATCCACATGGCCCTGCGGGACCTGCGGCCAGCTGGTGAGTGGCCTGCCCCAGGCGAGGGGGTGGGGGTCGGGCCGGGTGAGGGGGTCTCACTTGCCCCTCCTGTCCTGCCCTGCAGGGTCCAAGACCAGGAAGATCCCATACCCCACCAAGAACCCCTTCACCTGGCTCTTCCTGCTGGTGTCCTGCCCCAACTATACGTACGAGGTGCGGCTCTGCCCCGCTCTCCTCCCCTCTCCCTCCTGGGGCTGGGGTCCCACACGGAGGGACCGGCCCCTGATAGGGGTCCCTGGCTCACCAGCTGCCTTGCAGTTTGTAGCATCTGGAGACGGAAAAGCTGGCCTTTCTGGGAGTTGGGAGGTGTGCAAGGCCAGGCTTGCAGCCACAAGGAAGCGGGGGGCGCCTTCACCAGGTCATCCTGTCTACTCGAGGCCTCTCTGGCATCGGCATTTGGATAGTAAGGGTTGGGGGGAGGTGGGCGAGGCCTCCGTGGAGCGGCCGGCACTGCCCTGTCCTGCCCACCCTGACCCCTGACCCCTGACCCCTCTCCCCACAGGTGGGATCCTGGATTGGCTTTGCCATCATGACACAGTGTCTCCCAGGTGAACCCGCTGCTCCTCCCTCCATGCCCTCCCCCCCCCC